GGAAGGGGACCGAGGCCCCCCCCCCCCCGCCATCTCCTGCTGCCGGGTTTGCTGGGTGAGCTGCCGGTGCTGCAGGCAGCCCTTCCACACCTACAGGGGAGGGAAAGATAGAGAATAGGGAGGGGGCAGCCCAGGCCAGTCGGTCGCACTCCCGGGCCCTGCTGCTCGGCCTTAGGCGGCGTCTCCGTCGCGTCCCTCTTGGCCGCCCCGCCCCCCCAGCGCGCTCAGCAGCTGGACTTCCTTCTCTCCAGTCCCTGCCTGGAGATTGGCAACCATGTAATTGGGGGGCACGCGGTGGAGCGCCAGAAGGTAGCCCCGCGTATGGCGCAAAAAAACCTCGAGCCGGCCCTGGGTATGAGATCTCCAAAACCTCCTCACTCTGATGTGGTATCAGGGTCTACTTGTCTTATTTGCGAAGAATGCGGTGAAAAAGGAGAAAATGGCACAGAAAACTGAATTGTGAAACACAATACTGTTGCTGACCCGGTGCAAGTGCTAGAAGTCATTTGTGAATCTTTTGGCTCTTACCGTCACGGGAGGCCCTTCCAAGTCTTGATTGAGGACAAATCATGCGCTTTGCAAAACAAAACTATGTATTCTTTGCAACATTTTGTCAGCGGTGTCAAATGCCTCTCTTCCCCCCCCCTCATCATTTGCATTTTGCTGTGTGGAAGATGCCAGGTGTTTAGCCTTTCAGGACTTCATGATGAATTTTCAGTGTACTTTTCCCACAGCCCAGTCAAATTCTGAGCCTTAGAAACCGGCACTTATCTGTGTAAAGTTCTGTAACTGTTCTTGCTATCTGCTGCTCCTGTTTACTTAGCCAAGTGCTTCAATCACAGGTCATTCCAGATGGACATTTTTCTTAGCAACGCTTGTTCTCAAAACGTAGGGCTTTCCAGCATCCATTCAGTTCAATCACTGCTGAAGTTGGGTATTTCTGCCTGTTAGAAATGTGATTTGGGGTTCCCCCTCCCCTTTCTGGTGTTTGTTCTTTGTGATTTACAAAATGGTTTCAAAGAGTTGGGATGTATTTTTCAAGTAGCATTTTAGATATATACAGAGACATTTCAACCCATCATTCGGGTGCTTTCTTTGGTCTGTATGTAACGTTGCCTCAGATCACACACACACACACCCCAGCCAACCCACATTCTTTGGCAGCTGCGGCCCAAGGATTCAGGTGGAGATTTTTGTCTCACCTACTTATCCAAGATCCTTGTAGCTGAAAATGCCTGGGGCTGAACCTTGAACTTGTGGCATGCAACACTTGTGTTTTGCCGAGTTACAGCTCCTGGCCAGATGCAGCTTTTCAGTTTTTACCGTTTATGTTGACCTACATGGGGGCAAGAAGCAGGTGTGCAGCCCTGAGGAAGGGGAAGCGTACAAGAAGGGATTCTTTTCTGTTGCCTCTCTTGCTGCCTGACTATGATAGTTCTGCTGGAGAGAAATGATTAATAATTGCTGTTCTCCTTGGGGTTTCCTTCGAGTGGATGGCTGCTTAGTTGCCCCTTCCTGACAAAGGTTAGAATTGCCCCCTCCATGTAGCGATACATACCGCCAACACAACCCTATTTTCAGTTTAGTTTATCTTGCAAAGAATTTTGCAGTCTCAAGACACAACCCTGTTGTGGAAGTTAACATTCTTCCTTTTTTACGCTGCAAGAAGGAGCCAAATGACATGTTATGGGCGGGCACTGATGCCACTTTAGAAGCGAATTTGTTTCAAAGCTGTTGCAAGGCCCTGATCCAGTCCAACACTTTGTCACACAGTGGCCAAAAATACCATGTGCCCTCCCACTGTTGACCCCCCAAGCACCAAGAATACAGAGCATCACCTGCCCCAGAGTCCCTAACCATACCTTGTGACTAATACCCCTTGGTCATCCAAGGGCCCCACTGCCTCCCTGGGCTTTAACTTCACCATGCAGTACAACCGCACTAGGCAATCTCCCTCCCCATCCCGGGCTTTTTAAAATGCTGAAATAGCTGAGGGGGGCTATTTTGGAACTTTAAAAGATGATGTGTGCGTTGGGGGGGGGGGAAGTGCTGATGACCATATGCTAAACTTGCCTTCGAGACTGCTAAACTTGCCTCTAAAATGGCATCAGTGATCATGAGTTGTTCCGCATCTGCTTGTAACACATAGTTTGGCTCAAGATTTGATCTTTATGTGCCTTTCAGTTCACTTCCAATTATTCCCAACCTCTACCCCCCCTCCACCGCCAGAAACGCAATTCTTAAGTTCATTGCTAGTGAATAGATTCTGATTGCTTTTCTCTTCGTCCATTCAGAGTGGCAAACAGTGTTCCCTCTAAGCTGAGTTCGTGTGAGCTAGCTCACACTTTTTTAGCCTCCAGCTCACACATTTTTGTCTCTGCTCAGGAAGGAGGGCTCCAGAGCGGACTAATTTTTGCAGGAGCCAAATCGCTCGCTCACAGCGTTAATGCCAGTAGCAGAAAAATGGCCAGCAGCACCGCTTTTGCCTCTACTGGCATTGTAAGTGGGAAGCCACCACTCTCTTTAAGGAGCACGACGTAGGCACGGATCCCAAGAATCAAGGAACTAGTTAAGGGCTGCTGATCTTTTTAAAGCCTGCAGGCACCTTTGGGATTTTGAGAGGGGCAGGGAGTGCAGTGGCTCAAGTGGTTAAGACGCTGAACTGCAGGCTGTGGAAGGTCAGTAGTTCAGCGGTTCAAGACCCGGGTGCCGCATGACGGAGTGAGCTCCCGTCTCTAGTTCCAGCTCCTGCCAACCTAGCAGTTCGAAAGCAAGAAATTGCAAGTAGATAAATAGGTACCACTTCGGTGGGAAGGTAACAGCGTTCCGTGCGCCTCGGTGTTTAGTCATGCCGGCCACATGACCACGGAAACGTCTTCGGACAGCGCTGGCTCTTCGGCTTTGAAACGGAGATGAGCACCGCAACCCTAGAGTCGTATTCGACTGGCTTTCGAGCAAGGGAACCTTTACCTTTACCTAGGGAGTGCCACCTCCGCAGGAGGTGGAGCCAAGCCCCAAATGGATGCTGCAGGTGGCAGTGTCAAATGCAGTTTATCTCCCTTATCACCTTGCCAAAGAACCATAGAAGGGGCATAAAAAGAAACGAAGGGAAAAGAAACTGAGGAATAAAAAGGTCGTCACAGCAGCCCAGACGCAGAGGGAGATGGAGGAGGAGGAATAAAGAGAAGGAAAGCCTGATGGGGGAATGGAACCGCACACGGACCAAGCAAAAGCCGAGTGCTCAGCAGTCCTCCTGATCCTTCGGCTGCTGTGGCAACTGGAGAAAACCCTTTCATTAGAATGAGGGCAGCCAATAGCAGGCCTTAAGAACATAAGAACATAAGAGATGCCAATGTTGGATCAGGCCAAAGACTCATCCAGTCCAACACTCTGTGTCACACAGTGGCCAGAAATACCAGTGCCATCAGGAGGCTCACCAGTGGGGCCAGGACACTAGAAGCCCTCCCACTGTTGACCCCCCCAAGCACCAAGATGACAGAGCATCACTTGCCCCAGGCCTTGACTTACAGTGGCCCCACCCATTTTCTGAGAAGCTCAGCAATCACCAGGGAAGTATTGGCAGGCACCATAGTGCCCACGGGAGCCAAACTGGGGGGCTGTGAATTAGTTCCACGCACCAGAAAGGGTTTCGGCTCTGGGGTGCATGTGTTTGTCTTTAACAGGAGCCTCCACAAAAGGAGGAGCCTCTTAAAGCCAGGTTATAAAAGGAAGACGAGCATGTTGAAAGAGGTTGGTAGGAACAGCATTGAGTAGGTCATTGGATATCCCTGTTTCTCACTAGTTCTCAAATCCTGGGAACAATGGTACCATGCCATGCGTAAAGGTTTCACACAACTATGTAAGACTGCATCAAGGATACAAGATCCATGACTTAGAATCAGGGCATTTAGGCAAGAAAGCAGGTCAGTAGTTTTACATTTAGCGTTAGATATGTCCACTAAAAGCAAACGTATTAGGCCCATTACTTCTCGCAAAGGGAGATTACAACAGAAGACTGCTGAACTAGAATCCATTAACATAAGAACATAAGAGAGACCAATGTTGGATCAGGCCAAAGGCCCATCCAGTCTAACACTCTGTTGCACAGTGGCCAAAAATACCAGGTGCCATCAGGAGGTCCACCAGTGGGGCCAGGACATTAGAAGCCCTCCCACTGTTGACCCCCACCCCAAGCACCAAGAAGACAGAGCATCACTTGCCCCAGAGCCCCTATCTATACCTTGTGGCTAATAGCCACTGATGGACCTTGAAGCCGTCCATGCTTGTAGCTACCACCACTTCCTGTGGCAGTGAATTCCATGTGTTAATCACTCTTTGGGTGAAGAAGTACTTCCTTTTATCTGTTCTAACCCGACTGCTCAGCAGTTTCATTGAGTGCCCACGAGTTCTTGTATTGTGAGAAAGGGAGAAAAGTACCTCTTTCTCTACCTGCTCTATCCCATGCATAATCTTATAAACCTCGATCATGTCACCCCTCAGTCGTCTTTTCTCCAAGCTAAAGAGCCCTAAGCGCTTTAACCTTTCCTCATAGGGAAAGTGTTCCAACCCTTTTATCATTCGAGTTGCCCTTTTCTGCACTTTTTCCAAAGCTATAATATCCTTTTTAAGGTGTGGTGACCAGAACTGCACACAGTATTCCAAATGAGGTCGCACCATTGATTTATATAGCGGCATTATGATATTGGCTGATCTGTTTACAATACCCTTCCTAATAATCCCCAGCATAGCATTGGCCTTCTTTATTGCAGTCACACACTGTCTCGACATCTTCAGTGAGTTATCTACTACAACTCCAAGATCTCTCTCTTGCTCAGTCTCTGCCAGTTCAGACCCCATCAATGTGTATTTATATTTAGGATTTTTGGCTCCAATGTGCATCACCTTGCACTTGGCCACATTGAACCCCATTTGCCATGTTGACGCCCACTCGCCCATCCTTGACAGATCCCCTTGGAGTGCCTCACAATCCTCACTGGTTTTCACCACCCCGAACAACTTTGTATCATCCGCAAATTTAGCCACTTCACTGCTTACTCCCATCTCCAAATCATTAATGAACAAGTTAAAAAGCAGTGGACCAAGTACTGATCCCTGCGGTACCCCACTGCTTACCACCCTCCACTGAGAAAATTGCCCACCTACACTCACTCTCTGTTTTCTATGAACTAGCCAGTTTTTGATCCATAAAAGGACTTGTCCTTCTATCCCATGATTTTTGAGCTTACTTAGGAGCCTTTGATGAGGAACTTTATCAAAAGCTTTCTGGAAGTCAAGGTAAATAATATCTATTGGATCCCCCTTGTCCACATGTTTGTTCACCCCCTCAAAGAACACTAACAGGTTAGTGAGACAAGATCTTCCCTTACAGAACCCATGTTGAGTCTGCCTCAATAGGTTTTGTTCATCTATGTGCCTACTAATTCTTTCCTTAATAATGGTTTCCACCAATTTACCCGGTATCGACGTCAGACTGACTGGCCTGTAATTTCCCGGATCTCCTCTGGAACCCTTTTTAAAGATGGGAGTGACATTAGCTACCTTCCAATCCTCAGGAATGGAGGCAGATTTTAAGGAAAGATTACATATCTTTGTCAGGAGATCTACAAGTTCACATTTGAGTTCTTTCAGAACTCTCGGATGTATGCCATCTGGGCCTGGTGATTTTTCAGTTTTTAAGTTGTCTATCAGTTTTAGGACCTCCTCTCTCATCACCTCAATCTGACTCAGGTCTTCCAACACCCCTCCTGAAATCAGTGGTTCTGGAGTGGGCAAGCACTTCTCATCTTCCACAGTGAAGACGGAGGCAAAAAATGCATTTAGCTTCTCAGCCATTTCCCTATCATCCTTCAATACTCCTTTTACCCCTTGGTCGTCCAAGGGCCCCACTGCCTCCCTGGCTGGTTTCCTGTTTCTAATGTATTTGAAGAAAGTTTTATTGTTGGTTTTTACGTTTTTTGCTATATGCTCCTCATATTCCCTTTTTGCCTGCCTGACCTCAGACTTGCATTTTATTTGCCATAGCCTGTGTTCCGTTTTATCAGCCTCACTGTGACTAGCTTTCCACTGCTTAAAGGAATTCTTTTTACTTTTTACAGCCTCCATTACTCTGTTTGTTAACCATGCAGGCTTTTTCCTATACCTGTTTGTGCCTTTCCTAACCTGCGGAATATATATTTTTTGAGCTTCTAGGATCGTAGTTTTAAATAGATCCCAAGCTTCCCCAATTGTTTTGACCCTTTCTACTTTTCCTTTCAGTTTCCTCCCCACGTGTCCCCTCATATCAGAGAAATTACCCCTTTTAAAGTTAAAAATGGTTGTGTGAGTCTTTTTGGCCAATTCTCTATTTGTACAAATGATGAACTCAACAACATTATGATCACTGTTTCCAAGCGGTGCAATCACTTTTACATCTCTCACCAGGTCTTGAGTGTTACTTAGGACCAAATCAAGGATCGCCTCTCCCCTGGTAGGTTCCGTGACCATCTGCTCCATAGCACAGTCATTTAGAGTGTCTAGAAACTCAATCTCTTTTTCCCGACTAGAACACATATTGACCCAATCAATGTGTGGGTAGTTAAAATCACCTATTATTACACAGTGTTTTTGTCTAGTTGCTATCTTTAAGGCATTCATCATTTTATAATCCTCCTCTATCTTTTGATCTGGTGGGCGATAACAAACTCCCAGTGTTAAGTTTCCTTTTGGCCCCCCTATTTCAACCCATAGAACTTCCAGAAGCGAATCCAATTCACTTAGCCTCTCAATCTTTCTAGACTTTATACCCTCTCTGACATACAGAGCTACCCCACCTCCAACCCTTCCCCCCCTATCCTTCCGATATAATATATAACCGGGAATCACTGTGTCCCACTGATTTTCCTCATCCCACCAAGTTTCAGAAATACCCACAATGTCTATTTTTCCCTCCGACACCAAGCACTCCAACTCCCCGATTTTACCTCGGACACTTCTAGCATTTGTATAGAAACAGCTGTAATTTCCCTTACAAGTTAAGCCTGCATCCTTCCTCTTGCTATCTCGAGTCGTTGTCCGGCAGTCCATGTCACCAGCCATGGCCTCTGTGGACAATTTCAATCCACCTCCCTGTAGAAAAGCAACCGGTACCCCCTCACCTCTCTCAGATGAGCCAACCCGAACCAGAGACTTTTCATCTCCTGTCGGCTTTCCCCCAATATTCAGTTTAAAAGCTGCTCTGCCACCTTTTTGATTTTAAGTGCCAGCAGCCTGGTTCCTTCTCGGGACAAGTGGAGACCGTCTCGCCTGTACAGCTCCCTCTTGTTCCAAAAAGTATCCCAGTGCCTAACAAACCTGAACCCTTCCCCCCTACACCATCGTCTCATCCACGCATTGAGACTCCTGATCTCTGCCTGTCTCTCCGGCCCTGCGCGTGGAACAGGTAACACTTCTGAGAAGGCTACCTTGGAGGTCCTGGACCTAAGTTTCCTGCCCAGCAGCCTAAATTTCTCCTCCAGGACCTCACGACTGCATTTCCCCACATCGTTGGTGCCGACATGCACCACGACCACTGGCTCCTCCCCAGCACTATCTACCAGCCTATCTAAAACACGCGTAATGTCCGCTACCTTCGCACCAGGCAGGCAAGTCACCATACGGTCAGTACGCGGGTTCGCCACCCAGCTGTCTACCTGCCTAAGGATCGAATCACCCACTACCAAGAGCCCCCCTCCCACCCTGCTCAGGGATGGTTCCTTGGTGCAAAAGGAGAGCCGCTCACCAGCTGGGGAAGAGGTCCCTTCTGAGGGCACATTCCCCTTATCCTCAGCATGGTGCCCTGTTTCCCCTAGACCCTCATGCTCCCTAAAAAAGAAGAAGAAGAAGCACCGAAGGAATGCAGCAGTAATTAATACACAGAAAAGAGGAAGCCTATGGCCTCCTCAACTATCATGGCAGCATAGCTGACAGGCTGGTGCAAAATGCAGTAGCCCCCTTGTTGTCGGGGGCCAGTCATCAGGATCTATCTGCTCCTGGGTCCAATTCAAGGTATTGGTGCTTAGCGTATAAAAACCCATCATGACCTTGAGCTCACATTCTTGAAGGTCCGCCACTTCCTGCCTGTCCCCGTGCAGCTGCTTTGTTCTTCCCAGCGGGGTTTGTTGTCTGTGCCCCTCTTGTCTAGGGTTCCGCCCACAAGAGCAAAGGACAGGAGATTTTTTGGTTACTCCTCCACATTTGTGGAACATCCTCCCTGAAGAGGTCAGAAGGGCTTTCATAAGCGATCTGGGAGCGCTTTCTGGCTGTTGATACTTTTATATAGGTGACTTTAATATACTTGCTATTAATTATATCTGCATTTTATCTCTGGCCTTGGATACTGATAGGAGGACATATTTTAAATAAGTAAACTATGAGATTTTGCATCCATATTTCTCAAAGCTGGAGGGAGAGGAAGAGCTGGAAAGCAGTTAGGGTACTTATTAAGCCAATATGCCCATCGTCAGAGCCAAATGTGCAAAGAGTTTTAAAAATCATAACGCAGAGTGGAGACTGCTGTGAAAGAAATGGAAAGAGCTGCCCCAGCAGCCATTGCCAGCATAGAGAGGGAGCTCCCAGCATCTGTTGTGCTACGTAACCCTTTATTTATTACATAAAGGTAAAGTTTCCCTTGCTCAAAAGCCAGTCGAATCCAACTCTAGGGTTGCGGTGCTCATCTCCGTTTCAAAGCCGAAGAGCCAGCGCTGTCCGAAGGCATTTCCGTGGTCATGTGGCTGGCATGACTAAACACCGAGGCGCACGGAACGCTGTTACCTTCCCACCGAAGTGGTACCTATTTTATCAACTTGCAATTTCTTGCTTTCGAACTGCTAGGTTGGCAGGAGCTGGAACTAGAGATGGGAGCTCACTCCGTCATGCGGCACCCGGGTCTCGAACTGCTGAACTACCGACCTTCCACAGCCTGCAGTTCAGCGTCTTAACCACTTGAGCCACCGCAGCTCCATTTAGTACGTACCTCCCCCTAAATAGTGTCTGAATTGGACAAGGCATGATCTTTAGTGTGACCCACTTCACAAATATCTAATTGTTATCTGAAGAAGATTGCTCCCCAAGCCCCAAGAATACACATTTCAGAAGTATTTCTGCAGACACGGTACATATAGCCAGAAAGCTGTACCTAAAGGCTTGTTGTTCCGTTGTGTTGGTTATCATGACTTAGCTGAACTCTGTATCTTACATTTTTAACGGGAACTAAGTGTAAATTCACTTCTCCGCTTTCTCAAGGTTCGATAAACTTTTTACACGCTGACTGTGATAAGTTCAGGCATCCACTTCTCCACATTCAGAAGACTCCAGCAGATTGTCCTGTTATTGCTATCGACAGTTTTAGACATATGTATGTCTTCTCAGACTTCAGTGACTTGGCGTGAGTACCCTGTTCCTTTCGTCTTGACAGTCTAGTCCTCCAATTTGGTGTAGCAGTTAAGTGCGTGGACTCTAATCTGGGAGAACCGGGTTTGATTCCCCACTCCTCCACTTGCAGCTGCTGGATGACCTTGGGAAAGCCGTAGTTCTGTCAGAGCTGTTCTTTCAAAGGCAGTTCTCTCTCAGCCCCACCTACCTCACAGTTGTCTGTTGTGGGGAGAGGAAGGGAAAGGGATTGTAAGCCGCTCTAAGACTCCTTTGGGTACTGAAGGGTGGGGTGTAAATCCAATCTCTTCTTCTCCTCCTCCTCCTCCAAGGGGGGGGGGGAACTGAAGCCTTTCCAGAGGGCCAAAATGCAATGAAGCAAAGCTCTGCCAAGGCAGAGGAGGCTCAGAGTGTTTCTTAAAATACAAAATTCGATTGACAGTCGAGTGATTTTATTTTTTAAAAAATCCCAAATACTGAAATGCGTTGCCAGGGATCCAGAGAACACCATATGCGTGCCCAAATGGTTTCCATTGCATACACAGCCTGTACCAGTGTCCCTGTCCTGTGGCGCATGACAAGATACTTCTCAAGTAGTTCACCCCGTGTTCAGAAGTGGCTTTGAGGGGCTGTTGTGGGAGAAGGTAGCCCTGGACATTTTGTTATGTGTGAGACATACAGAGAAGGGGCTTTGGATTGTTGTCCGTATTTAGAAAAGGAAAGAAGAAAAGTCGTACTAAAGAGAGCCAATGGTAGATTTCCTGGAAGACCTAGGAAATGGGATTTTTTTTTCAGGTGCTTCTAAAGGAAAAAATTCGGGGAGCGAAACCGGAGGTTGGGGGGGGGCTCAGGTGGGAGGGAGGCCCATCCCGAGGGGATCAGCATAGCAAGCCAGCCTGCGTGTTGCTGACTTGAGGCATGATGGTAGACACTCCAAACAATAGGTTAGATGTTGAGTATAGATAACCCCCGTGCTGACTAGGACTAGGTCTCCCACAATCGTCCGAGTGCCCTTCTGGCTCAGTCTTTAAACGCCATCTGTGCTCCTCTGTGTGCAGGAAAGGTGAAGAATGTCAGGCCGGGTGAATGGCCTTGGTCGCCTCAGCCCCACCCCTTAGTAATGCCGCCATCTTTTCAGCAAGCGGTCCACGACAGCGAGGCCCTCTTGGAGGGCCCTAGAAGAGGGAAAGACGGAAGCCGTGGTGGCGGAAAGTGCCGTCAAGTCGCAGCCAACGGGTGGCGACCCCGTAGAGTTTTCCAGGCAAGCGGTGGACAAGGGTGGTTTGCCGTTTCCTGCCTCTGCACGGCAACCCTGGACCTCCTTGGGGGTCTCCCCTCCAAGTCCTAGCCAGGGCCGGCCCTGCTTAGCTTCCAAGGTCTGACGAGATCGGGCCAGCCCGGTCTGGGTGTGACATGGGAGTAGAGGTGTGCGATCAGGACCGCGTGCCTTCAGGAGGTCACTCCAGGGAACAACCTCACGATGCCTGTGTCATCAATGGCAAGGGAAGATCATCTCTTATTCGCCCTTACTCGGATGGCCCAGGCTAGCCAGATCTTGGAAGCTAAGCAGGGTCCGCCCTTATTAGTATTTGGGTGAGAGACCATCCAGGGTCGCTTACGCTGAGGCAGACAGTGGCAAACCATCTCTGAACGTCTCTTGCCCTGAGAACCCTACAGCAGGGGCGGCCAGACTTCCTTCACGTAAGAGCCACACAGAATAAACGGCAGATGTTTGAGAGCCGCCAAGACATGAACAAATATGACACACACGTTTTAATTGGAAAATATGCAAATTTGCTTGTTATTAACAGTAACGAGACTGCCAAAAACAAAAAAATAAAATAAAAGGGGTTTTTAGTTTTAGTTTATTATTGCGGTCTTGAGACCAATGTACAGAGTAAGCATAAAACAGTCAGATATCGATAATTCTATTTATTTATTTGATGATATTTGTAGGCTGGGTGGGGCTTTAAGAATGCATTTAAAGTTGCTTTCTTTCTCTGCTCTCCCCCCCCCCACCTCAAGCCTACCCAGGGAGGGGAAAACTGGCTGGGGAAGGGAAGACCAATTGGGGGAGGGAGGCACGCCTCCCTTTCGCTTCCCCAGCTGCCCTGCCGGGAGCCACACAATCTGTGTGGAAGGGCCGCATGTGGCTCCCAAGCCACGGTTTGGCCACCCCTGCCCTGCAGGGTCACCATAAGTCGACTGCAGCTTGATGGCCCTTTCCACCACCCCAGCTTCCATGTTTCCATCTTCTGAGGCCCTCCAGGTTTGTTTCGCTGTTGCGGACAGCAGGAAAATCCTACGGGGTTGCCGTAAGCCAGGTGCGACTTGATGGCACTCCCCCCCCCAGTCCTTATTTACCACAGCTCTGTCGCCTTAATGGTCCCCAAAAGCATCGGAAGGCCCGTGGTGAAACTGAGCAGACCCCGCAAGGAGGATAGGCATATGTGCATTAAATGCATTCTCAGTAACCCCAAGGGGAGCTCTGTGTCAGACATTTGCCTGGTGCATACAGAACTTCCAACTTTCCCACATGGTTGTCAGTCAACTCTCTGTCGCGGACACGTTATAAAGCAAACACTATTCCACCGTGTCATTTCTGTCACTTCTTTGTCCCTATGGTTTCAGGGTGTGTGCGGTCCCCCCCCATGTGTTTTGCTCTTTCTAGTAGTCCCAGAGGGAGCAAAACGCAAGTGGAAAGGGGGGTGGGAAGACCCAAAGCAATAGGGACGGCAAAAGAGTGACAGAAATGAAAGTGCGGAAGAGTGGCCATTATTTTGGGTGGCCTCCCGGCCTCCTCAGTCCTTCTGCCTCTCAAAGTGCCTTTGCAGAGGCAGAGACTGCGTTCCCCTTTTGCATGTGTGACGCACCCTCTTCCATGCTCAATTTCCGTTTCGCCACACTCATGCTGCCACCAGAAACAATCGGCCCTTCTGCTTAGATAATTTCTGAATGACTCCGGCCCCCATCTCTCTGCCTTCTCCTGCTGCTCGGAGTTCTGAACACCTGACATGTCCGAATCACAGGAGGCGGGCTGCAGCCTTCTGATTCTGACTCTCCAGTGCCGAGAGGCGGTAGATGCTCTCCGGAGCCATTTGAATGGCCATCCCTTTGGTGTTCATCTCTGGTGTCTACGCAATTAGTCAGGCTCCGGAGAAGCTTTCAAAGGCGGTTTTTGTCAATACGGCTACCTGACCGTCATTTGTATTTGTAAACTGTGCATTTGGCACCCGCTGTTCTCTGCTGCTGCATTGTGGCAGAGGGAGCACACAATGAAGTTATTGGGTAGCCCAGCGCTGTGGGAATTAATGAAGGGAAGAAATGCTTGCTGTGCCCTCAGGAGATCGGGAGGAAGAAAAAAGCGCCGGTAGGGTAGCTTCCCCCTAGACCCGGCTCTCGGTCCCACATTATTGACTTTAAAAAAAGAAAGAAAGATATCTTCAACAAGGGAAGTGTGGGCCAATGCGCACTGAAATGTATCTTTACTTTAGGTTTTGTTTATAGTGAAGTTGGGGGGGCGGGTTTTGCAATTGTTATCAGTTTTTTAAAAAACCAATATAGAGTATGCAAGGACAACAATTGTGTCTAAAAGGCTGCCTTTATTATCATCCTCGGTTCCTCTTGGCCCTCCCCTCAGCCCCTTGTGTATTGTCGGTGCAAAAAAAAAAAAAAGGAAAAACAAATACTTGCAAAGGGCAAATAAGAAAGGCATGCGTATAAATTGAGAGAAAATAAAAAAGCAGATTACTAGGAAGAGAGAAGGGGGTCAAAGCCAGCACAGATGTCTCTCTGCCAGCCTTGTTGCTGAGGGACCGCTCGGGGTCCCCCTCCCCCCCAAATTCAGCCTAAAGATGCTCAGGATGCCTTTTTGTTCCAGTTTCATTTGGATGCCTGTTCTCCCCCCCCCCTTTTTTTCCCCTCCTTTTTTTCTTTTGCTTCTTTCAGTGTTCCAAGTAAACTCAAGCAATTCGTACTAGATTTGCACTCTGGGAAGCTGCACAGGGAGTTTCATCATGGCCCAGATCCGACCGATTCACTGCCTGGTCAGGTAAGGAAGCAAGCTTAGGCACTAATGTAACGGCACTAATATAATTAATATAATACTACAATGGTATAAATATAAATGTTCTCTGAAATAATGCTATATAAATAGTTTTTGACACACACATATATATATATGAACCTAATTTATTGTTATCCTTTTTATTTTTAGAAATGCTCTTAAAATGTACTTTTCCCGAATACTGTGTATTTTAAATGTTTATGTTAAATGCTCTATATTTACTCTGATGTTGATCGTCCATGTTATGAATAAGTTATAGATTATTATACTATCTATATCTCCCTTTCCCCCTTGTTTTTAATTTAAAATATCAACAATTTAAAAAGGTATTAAAGAAAGATATTGCTGTATCAGTGGGAAGCACTAAGTCAGTGGATTTTTTTTTTTTTACAGTGGCCCATACTTATTTTCAGGGTGCTTTAGATTTCCGTTTTAATTGGGAAGGAAACATTGCATCTTTGGTGAGAGCCAGTTTAATGTAGTGGTTAAGAGCGCGGACTCTAATCTGGGAGAACCGGGCTTGATTCCCCCCTCCTCCACTTGCATCTGCTGGGTGACCTTGGGCAAGTCCCAGTTCTCTCAGAGCTGTTCTCAAGAGCAGTCCTTGGAAGAGCTCTCTCAGCCCCACCTCCCTCACAGGGTGTCTGTTGTGGGGAGAGGAAGGGAAAGGAGATTGTAAGTTGCTCTGAGACTCCCAAGTGAAGGGCAGGGTATAAATCCAATCTCTTCTTCTTCTTCCCATGATGGAAGCATTGCATCTTTCCATCATTGACTGTTGGTACTAGTGGAAAAGAACAAGAGTCCAGTAGCATCTTAAAGACGAACAAAATTTGTGGCAGGGGATGAGTTTTTGTGAGTCGCTGCTCACTTCATCAGATATTTCTATTAATACAAGTTGATTAAAATGTGGGAATCACTGCCTGAAGATGTAGTGATGGCCACAGGTATAGATGGCTTTAAAAGGGGATTCAAGAGATTCATGGAGGACAGCTCTGTCAGTAGAGACTAGCCATGGTGAGGCAGTCAACCTCTGGACCCCAGTGCCAAGAGGAACATCAGGGGAAGGCCTGCTCCTCCGTGCCCTCTTGTTGGACCTCCAGAGAAACTGGTTGGCCACTATGTCAGACAGGATGCTGGACTACATAGACCGCTGGTCTGATCCAGCAGGACTCTTCTTGTGTTCTTAAGGAATCTAACTTGGCCGCCATAGGAATTTACCAGGAAATGCCTCTTGGGGGGGGGGCACGCAAGAGAGGGTGTTTTCAGTGGCAGTTCAGCAATTATGGAACAACCTTCCCAAGGAAGTTCTCCCTCTGAGGTGGAGGCCATCTTGTGGGTGATTCCCATCCATCAATCAGGGAGGCAGGAACTCTTCAAAATCTTCCTGTTTCCTGTGGTGGGAGTCACCCCAGTTTCAGTTTCTTTCCTGCCTCAAGAGGGAGAGCAGCTAGCTTAGGCTTTGCCTGTTTTTTTGTCTTTGCTTATCTCTTTAAATACTTACCCGGGTTAGGACTGCATTGGACTCTTTTTTTCTTTTTTGCTATCAAGTCGCAGCCAACTTACGGTGACCTCGTAGGGTTCTCAAGGCAAGAGATGTTCAGAGGTGGTTTGCCACCTTCCTCGATGGTCTCCCATCCAAGTACTAACCAGGGCCAACCCTGCTTCATTTCTGAGACTTGAACCGGGTGCTTCCCGGTTAGCAGAATTCTGAGCCACTGCGTTACACGAGCTTTTCATTTGTCAACAATAGCTGAGCAAATAAATGTGTGAAAGATGAGTGCAACCTAGTTTAAGATGCTATTTTGTTCTCTTTCAGCCCCTTCAGGATATAGCGAGCAGCCCACCAGAGAGTTCATTCCAGAAGCTAGCACCCAGCGAACATAGGTATACCTTATTGCGGGAGAAAGACGAACTCTGAAACTTGGAAACCATCTCACAAGCCTTTCAGACAGCAGCAATGACTCCTGTGGGGTGGAAATACGAAAACCTCTATTTTCATAAATTCTGTGTATTTTTTTATTTTGAAAATTTTTTTTGTTTTGTTTTTCTCCCTGGGGTTTGTAAATATATGTGGGCCATCCGGGGGACAGCATCTATTCCAAAGCTCTGCTGCTGCTGCAAATTGCTCTGTAAAACTTTTCTAATCCAAAATGAAGGTGTCAAGAGTGCCAGTGAGATGCTGTCCTCTTTGCACTGTTCTCCCCGACAAACTGGACTCCTGGGTTTCCGTTGGTGTAATTTGGTAGCATGGCCCACCTTAACTTCCCCCTCTGCGTGAACATCATTTGGTTGTCCATTTGTTACTGAAGGGATATTCTGGATACTTGGGAGGGGGAATAAAATTGCCATTTTACAGAATTTGTGTAGCGCCTTCCTTACGGTGTATTGAAGAGAGAAGAAAACGGGCTTGGGGGGGGGCCTGGGAAACCGAGCTAAGCCGCTACCTTTGAGGGGAATTTATTTATTTATTTGCATTTTTACCCCGCCCTCCCTGCAAACAGGCTCAGGGCGGCTTACACAGGGGCATAAGCCCATACATAACACAATATAAAACAATAAAACCATTAGATCAAACAAACAGATAAAGTGCTCCATGCAGACAAGATGGTCTCCGAGGACGGTAGCAATCATTTCCTTAGGTGAATTTGTCCTATCGATGGTCCAGGCCAGTCCAGCGGCATCAGTGCCATGCAAATTTATGGCCGTTCTTCCGGGGACCACTCCCAACCCTGTTGTTTCAGTGGTGATAGTAGTAGAAGTGGCGGCCCCTATATAAAAGCCTGGCGGAAGAGCTCCATCTTGCAGGCCCTGCGGAACTGCATAATTCCAGAGGGCTAGTTGTGTTACCTTGCTGCAGCCAAGATGATAGTGTCTTTTGTGGTATCTAAGAGAGTAACAAATCAGTTGAAGTGCAGTGGTCATACATACCCCCACCTGACCCTGTCAGAGGGCTATGAGTAATGTCAGCAATACCATTATAGGCAGCCTCGCAGCCAGAGGTTTTTGGCTGGTGGGGCTAGGGTTGCCAAGTCTTACCTGCGCTTTAGCAGGGGGAGTCCCGGTTCTCCCCCAGGAGTTCCTCGGCGCATGCGCTCTGCGTGCGCGCCGCAATCACATCACACGTCGGGCACGTTGGGGGCGGGGCCAGTATCATTCGAGGGAAAGCCATAGAGTTTCCCCTCGAATGACAGAGCGTCCCCCCCCCACAACCTGCCAGACGCGGTGACGTCACCTCCAGGTGACATCATCACGCTGGGCATGTCTCCGTGCTCCCGGCACTTTGAGGGTGGGGATCCCCCCAGCGGCCCGATCCAGGGGACCTGGCAACCCTAGCTGGGGCACTGGGAGCGGAGGACTTAATTAGATTACCCAACAGTGTGTGGGATGGGGGGGGGGGTAGCGAAGGAAAGAAAAAGCCTTCTCTCTTTCCTTCCCCAGCCCCCATACAGCGGTGGGGAGGCTGGGGAAGGAAAGGGAAGCCGCCCTGCCCTGTCAACAGTTTCACTCCCCTCCAGTTAGCTGTTAAACCTAACAGCTGATCTGCCAGGAGTGAAACTGACCAGAAGCAGCAGGGCAGCTTCCTTTTCCTTCCCCAGCCTCTCCGCGGCTGCGGGGAAGAGACGCACTGTGGAGGGTGGGCTTAGCAGTCTGGCATCCTTCCGGGGTGGGGCATAGCGCATCCATGGTAGGCTTCGCCCCCAAACGACCCACAGTGGCTACAGGCCTGATGATAGTCTTATTTCCCTGCACATCCTCTAATGCAGGGGTCCCCGACCTTTTTAAGCCCGTGGGCACCTTTTGATGCTGAAACAGGGCGGCGGGCACAACAATCAAATGGCCGCCATAGGAGGCGGAGCCAGCCATAAAATGGCCCTCACAGGGGGCAGAGCCTCCCGTACACACAAATCACAAGTGCAGGGGACGAAAGGAGTTATTTTAAAAATGCGCTGGGAAAGAGGAGTGAGAGTAAAAACAATGCTTGTGGCGGCAGCTGCCGCCACATGACATCATTCTAATCTGCACAGCCAATCAGATTGTCAATGGCCAATCAGAAGCCCCGCTGGGAAGGAGCCCCACTTGGCCCCGCCCACTTTCTAAAAAGGCTTGGTGGGTGCCACGGAAGGTATTGATGGGTTATATGGTGCCCTGGGCACCCTGTTGGGGACACCAACTCTAATGTTCTAGAAGCACTCGTGTGTGAGAGCATTGCCGTGCTGTTTTCATTGGCAAAGGTGCATACTGTCTACACAATACCATAAATGGAAACAAGACATGAAAACGGGGAACAATCGGAAGTCGGTGGCAGCACTTCAACAGAAGTATTGCAAAGAGTGACTCTGGTGAGAAGCAGCTCGGCTGGTATCAATTCTGCATTTGCATTCATCCTACTTTGGGTTCAACAGGGATTTGGGGGGAGGTTAACCGATGACAAAAAAATAGTTGTTCCTCATGACAGGGTCATGTATGCAGATGCATCCTACATCGCCAGTCTGTCAACAGTTGGGGGCGGCCAGTGTTGAGTGGATCACTTACCCTTTTGACAGGATCTCATTTTCCATCTGTTCTCCGCCTTGTAATCTTGCTCACCTTGGGAAACTGGGCCTTCTGGCTGCCTTAGTTCTTTGTAGCTTTGGGTATATATCTCTATGCCAACTGAAAGTAAACCTTCATTCATCTAGCAAAGCGGACTTCGGCTCACAGCGGCATATTCCACGACGTCTTTGTCAGCTTTTAAGTCACTGCAAGACTTTGCATTGCTCTCCTAGTAACTTGTGCGTCGAGACAAAGGAAGCCGCCCTCAGAGGGCCATTTTTATAAATAAAAATCAACCCAGCATAACCGTTTTTTTAAAAAGAAGGTAACAGGAAGGCCGAAGATGTGAACTTTGAGAAGTGAGAAATCTGGAAACGGGAAGTTCATCAGCATACAAAAAGCTGAGATGGGGACTGGTATTTTACCTATCAGTATTGTGGTGTTCCGTGCGCCTTGGTTTTTAGTCATGCCGGCCACATGACCATGGAAATGTCTTCGGACAGCGCTGGCTCTTCGGCTTTGAAACGGAGATGAGCACCGCAACCCTAGATTCGGATTCGACTGGCTTTCGAGCAAGGGAACCTTTACCTTTTTATTGTGGTGTTTACCCATTAAGAAAGAGAAATGTTGGTACAGATGTTTCCACAATTGTAAAACGTAAGCTTTTCAGATTAAAATGCTACAAATGATAGGCTTAGAAACCCCATAGTGCTACTTTGTTTTTGCAACTGCTATAAATTGTGTCTTGCAACTATTTAGAAAGTTGAAAGAACAGTCAAGACTTGAAAGTTGAAAAAATCAGTTAAGACTTGAGTATTCTATGGCAGGAAGGAAAGAAATTATTCAAGCACTCATTTCTGTTGTCCGGGCAGAGGTGGTGTTCCAGCCTTTTTGATACTAGTACAAATTAATTCCTTTAGAAAAGAGTGACTAGTTTATGAAGGGGCTTTGTATTCCATTTGACATGCCAGTGACCCAACTACTACCATTGTGAATCAGTTCCATTTCTGATTTATATAGCAATAGGATCATTAAACATACAGATGGATTCAGGTGGGTGGCCAGGTTGGTCTGAAGCAGCAGAACAAAGTTTGAGTTGCTGGTCTTAAAGAAGAAGAAGAGATTGGATTTATCCCCCGCCCTTCACTACCCAAAGGTGTCTCAGAGCGGCCTACAAACTCCTTTCCCTTCCCCTCCCCACAACAGACACCCTGTGAGGGAGGTGGGGCTGAGAGAGCTCTTGACAGAAACTGCTCTTTTTTCAAGAACAGCTCTTATCAGTACTACGGCTTGCCCAAGGTCATCCAGCCAGGTGCGAGTGGGGGAATCAAACCTGGTTCTCTCAGATTAGAGTCCACGCACTTAACCACTACACCAAACTGGCTCTCTAAAGGTGCCACTGGACTCAAAACTTCGTTCATTAAGCATACGGCGAGACTTTGTCTTCGATTGTAACATCTCAGGATACAATCATGGAAAATGCCATTATTTAATCACCGCTTACGTTTTTAAAAACTCCCTGTACACAGAAAGCTAGCATTCCAGTGTTAAGACCAAGCCAGAAGCCTTTTCCTAATTTGCTAGCTTCCTGCTGGCACAGAGTTTCTACCATGGCAGGGATTGAACCTGGGACCTTCTGCATGCCAAGCAGGTGCTCTGCCATGGCCCCTCCCCACAGGGGTTCTGAGGAGCAGCTAAGCTGTTGCACAGTATCAGTCCCCACCCCAACCCCCACACACATGTTTTGCAGCATGAAAGTGGGGAACAGGGTTCCCACACCTGGGTTTGTTCCTATTTTTTACTTACAGACTAACAGAAAGCAGGGATGCCCAACAGGTGCCCCTTCTCCAAGTATTCTAAGCATTCACAGTTTTACTTGTGCACTTCTGGGAGGGGCTGTGGCTTAGGGGAAGAAGCGGTGTTTTGCAGGTAGAAAGTGATTAGTCAATCCCCAGCATCTCCAGTTAAAAAGGACCGGGCAGCAGATGATATGAAAGACCTCTGCCCAAGAGCCTGTCTGCACTGACAATTCTGAACTTGATGGACCAAAGGGTCTGATTCAGTATAAGGCTGCTTCCCATGTGTTCATAAGAAAACTGTTCTCAAAGGGTTTGAGGGAAATTTTTAAGCTGATGTGCTCTGTACATGTGAAGTTCTCACCTCTGATAATGCCATTTGGAGACCAGGGTGGTCCTCAGGAACCCAGAAGGTGGTATAAGCTGCTGTGTGCATGCACGCTTCTTCAGACACTCACGCTTATACCCAGAATTAAACTTTGTTGATCTTAAAGGGGCCACCAGACACAAACTTTGTTCTATTGCTTCATACCAGCAAAGCCACTTACCTGAATCTATCTGGTAACATAGGGAGTAAAGGATCACAACCAAAACACCACCTGCACAATTCACCCCAATTTCACCTGGAGTGAACCCTACCAGCAGTGTATTGCAGCTGTGGGTGCTACCAGTTCAGTGCAGCCATGGCCAAGCTTAAAATACTTTGGGACTTGTGCCAGATAGCCCAGTCTCTTACCATTCACTGCTTCAACAAGATGGGTACAGAATATGTGCAACAACGGCTTTAAAAATTCTTCAGATGAGTCCGGAAGCTCAATTTTTGTCAATTTCATCTATATGGAAATAAATGAGGGGAAAAGGATAAATATTACAGCTGTATCCATCTGTGGTGTTAGCATAGTATCACGCCAACTGTAAATAGTGAAATTTATGGGGTTTGGATTATTTTACAAAAAAATGTGAGGAAGAATAATGATGTTGGCTTTAAGTAGCTCCGTAAAGCAAGCACCTG